TACATGGAGGGGATTGCAACCATACAATGAAGCAAAGTATAGGATTTGTTGAATGTAAAACTGATGATCTGCTCTGTAAATTGTCACTCAATTCACAATAAAAAAAGTTGAAAGAAATGTGCAAAACGCAAACAAAGGTTTGGAAAATTCTGTTGGGCAAACTACTGGCATGTATGCTACTTTGTCCAATGTACATGGGTACATAAACTTTTGTTAAAGAGATTGTTGTTGTTTGTTTAGTGCCGTTGAATCTATTCTGATTCATAGCGATCCTGTATGGCGTTTCCAAGGAGACACTGGTGTGTTTGAGCCACCTACCTTGCGGTTCAAACAGACTCTTGTATTTTAGTGCTTATCCTACAGCACCATACCTGGACTCCATTGAAGAGAATAAGCCTAGCCAAACAATAGATAGACCTAGAGGGTGAACAACACCACCAGAAGCATATATCTGTTCAGTAGAACAATCAACATACGAGATCAAAACGGCAGCATCTGCCCTGGGATAAAGCTCAGAAGGCAGGAAAAAAATAGGAAAGAAGGATTGAGGGAAATAATAAACAAGGAAGAAGTTGAAAGGAGACTGCTGAATGATGGGGATTTCAATCAATGTCACAAAACAAAATGTATATGAGCTGATAAATGGACAATTTGCTTTGTAATCTTTCACTGAAATTACAATTAGCAAACCCAAACAAAAACTCATAGAATTGTACACAAAAAAAGAAGGGTCGAATGGGGATGTAAATTTTCTGAAAGATAAAAATTTCAAATTACAAATGAAATTACATCTGTGACTGATAGATTTAACCAACTACTACATCAGAAATTCAATCTACTAAGGCTGAAGAGGCCAAAGAAAGAATGAAAGGAGAGAATGCTCTGTCTCTTGGAATTTACAGGCAGAAAACAGGCTAAAGGAGATACATCTGTCATCTTCCAACAAAAGAAAAGGCCCATCTCTGTAGCAGCTCAGAGATAAGCAGAGCTGTGGTGAAGAGCATAGGAAACAGGCCTCCTGGGTTTTATCGAGAGGGGACTCAGTCTCCTGGATTTCAAAGGGTTGGGCAATAGCTTCCTACTTTTCAGAAAAGCTGATCTTCACTTTTCCTGTTCTAGAATTGGGAGTTAAGGTGTGCTAGAAGGATGGGGATACAACCTAAGGGGCAGAGAAATGGGGTTTGCCAAGACCAAAGGCCACTCAGTAGACTAGGAGAATAGGGCCACTTAAAGATGGGGGTTGAAGTCCTGGTTTGGCACTGGATTGATACCCACAAGGTCAGTGGTTCAAACTCACCGGTCACTCCTTGGAGACCACATACATGGTTGCTATGAGTTGGAACTGACTCACCGGCACCTAGCAACACCAAAGGTAGGGGAGCAGAGTTGCTACCCCAGTGGGCCTGTATATGGAGTTGAAGACTAGGGTCAGGGGTATCCACCAAGAACCCAGAGGGAGGGCAGGACCACTGCCTAGATCAGGGGTTGCTCTTACTAAGTACCATTGAGTCAGTCTGACTCACAGCAATCCTGTACAGGGTTTCCAAGGAGTGGTTGGCGAGCTTGAACTGTCAACATTGGGGTTTAAATTGACCTTGCAGTCCAGAGTTTTAACCTGCAGCACCACACCAGGACTACAGGGGTTGTTGCTGTTGTTGTTAGGTGCCATGGAGTCGGTGCCGACTCATAGCGACCTTATGCATAGCAGAATGAAACACTGCCTGATCCTGGGCCAACCTCACTGTTGTTGCCAAGCTTGAGCATTGATGCTGCTACTTTGCCAATCCATCTCGCTGGGGGTCTTCCTCTTTTTCTCTGACTCTCCACCTTACCACACTTGATATCCTTCTCCAGTGACTGGTCCCTGCTGACAATATGTCCAAAGTAAGAGAGACAAAGTTTGGCCATCTTGGCCTCCAAGGAGCACTGTGGCTGCACTTTTTCCAACAGAGATCTGTTGGTTCTATGGGCAGCCCATGGCACTTTCAATATTCCCCTCCAGCACCATAACTCAAAAGCATCAATTCTTCTACAGTCTTCTTTATTTAATGTCCAACTTTCACATGCATATGAGGTTATTGAGAATACCATGGCTTGGGTCAGGTGCACCTTGGTCCTCAAGCTGACATCTTTGGACTCCAGGGGTGGGGAACCTTTTTTTCAGCAAAAATTTGTAACATCATTCATGGACCATACAAAATTATCAACTTGAAAATTAGCTTGCTATATTTGGTCAAATATTTAATAAACTCACCCCTAGAGTCCTGGTGTGGCACTGTAGGTTAATGCGCTGGACTGCAAAGTCGTTTGAACTGCAAGGTCGGTGGTTCAAGCTCACCAGCCACTCCTCACAAGCCCTATACAGGGTTGCTGTGAGTCAGAACTGACTCAATAGCACAACAACAACAAAGTGATGGCTGTAACTGCAGTTGCCTTGCAGGGCCAGTCCATGATTTTGCAGACTCTGGTAGCGTAGTGGTTACGAATCGGGCTGCGAGCTGCAAGGTTAGCAGTTTGAAACCACCAGCTGTTTCGTGGAAGAAAGATGAGGCCTTCTGCTCCCGTAAACATTTACAGCCTCGGAAACCCTGTACAGGGTCGCTAAGAGTCAGAACCGACTCCATGGCACATAACAACAACAACATGCAGCCTGCAGGCCAGCTGTTCCTCACCCCTGGTCTAGACGGTCTCAGAGAAAAGAAGATGATCTTCAAGTCTGGAAAGCTATGTGTCCTATTTTGTTTTTTGCAAGCTACACAACCCTCTTGTGTCTTAGTTTCCTATGCATGTTGTGCACATTCTATGCATGTGTGTTATTTAAGTGGGTGTGTTATATGTGAAAAAAAAAAAGGTAACTTGTACTGCTGAGTGTGAGATTTGCTCGGTGTCTACTATTCCTTCTTTTCCTCTGATTGCTCCCATTTGTAATGGGAACGTCTGGTTTGTACATGTGCCACGATTGTACTTTGGAAGCAGACAACTTATCTCCTAGATTTCACAGTTCACAGATGAAGAAGAATTTCCCCCCAGGATGAAACATGCCTAAAGTCTTACCCATATTTGATTTCGATGATTCAAAAGCCAAAATTTTGGATTTAGAGTTGATTAAAGACTAATGGGGTGATGTGATGTTGTTGTTGTTGTTATGTACCGCAGAGACGGTTCTGACTCATAGCGACCCCGTACAGGGTTTCTGAGGCTATAAATGTTTACGGGAGCAGAAAGCCTCATCTTTCTCCCTCAGAACAGCTGGTAGTTTCGAACTGCTGACCCTGAGGTTAGCAGCCCTACTCGTAACCACTACGCTACCAGAGCTCCTTATTATATGTGGCAAGGGCATGGATTTTTGGAAGATAAAGAATGGAATGTTATGGACTGAACTGTGTTCCCAATAAATATGTATTGTAAATTCTAACTTCTATTGGTTGGTGGATACTACTAAATATATCATGGACTGCCAGAAGAACAAATAAATTTGTCCTAGTTAGTCAGAACGTTCCTTTGAAGCAAAGATGGTGAGACTTGGTCTGATCTCACATACTTTGGACATTATATCTAAAGGAGGAACCAGCCCCTGTAGAAAGACATCATGTTTGGTAAAGTAGAGGGTCACCAAAAAAGGAGTAAGATCCTCAATAAGATGACTGCAAACAGTGACAGCAACAATGAGCTCAAACTTAGTAACTGTTAAGATGGTGCAGGGCAGGGAAGTGTTTCATTCTATTGTACGTAGGGTCATGAGGAGCAAATGACTCCATGGTACCTACCAACAAGTCTGTGGCTATAATCCCATTTGGGTTTACAGCCAATGGGTTCTTTGTTTAAAAAGAATTCGGAATGGGTTCTTTGTTTAAAAAGGTAGGATTGTTGTTGTTGTTAGTAAGTGCCGTCGAGTTTGTTCCAACCCATAGCGACCCATATAGGATTTCTGAGGAGCGGCTGGTGAGCTTGATCCACCAAGCTTGAGGTTCAAACCGACTTTGCAGTCCTGTGCAGTCCACAGCGCTATACCAGGACTCCAAAATCCTAATTCAATCTGTTTTGAGATATAAAAAGATAATAAACTGAGCACAGAGAAAGACAGGGTGAGCTAGATGCCAAGACACATAGAGATCTCCAAGCAACCACAAAGCAAAAGCTGAAGAGACTAAGACCTTTCTCCATAACTGACAGAGAGTGAAAGTCTTCCTTTCAAGCCAGTGGTCTGAATGTACACTTCTAGCCTTCAATACCGTAAGAAAATTAATTTGTTTGTTAAAGTCATTCACTTGTGGTATCTGTTGTATCAGCACTCGCTAACTCAGACATCACTGATTTCTGTTTTTCAGCAGAATTCTATGTTAAATATATGAATAGGTAGTAAGTAGCAGAAGTACTCTCATGGGCTACAGTTGGGTGGAGGCCTAAGAGCTTGGAGCTCCTAAATATTAGACTCAGCTTGAAAGCCACTACATCAAATACACTGTCCATTTTCATAGCTTAAAATCATTTAAATGGCACAATTTGCCTAAGGCATTCCCTTTAGGGCTTTGATACATGTCAGCACACTATTGCTATCTAGTGGCCATAAAGCTAAATTACAGGTTCAGGTCTTTTATTAGAAGTTTCAGAAATCTTTGCCCTCTTTAAAAAAAGAGGGCAAAGCTATGTTACAAAGTTTTCAAGCATGTATTTTGTAAAAATCCAATGAATTTTCACACCTGGAAAAGATTCAGCAACTTCAGGTATAGTATATATGCCATAAATAATCACTTTTAAATGTTGTTGTTAAGTGCTGTCAAGTCGATTCTGACTCATAGCGACCCTGTATAGGGTTTCTGAGGAGCAGCTGGTGAGTTTGAACCACTGATCTTGCTAATCACACCCACCTTGAAGTCACGTGCTTATTTTATGGCGCCACGGCACTTTTAAACAGTTGACATTTATTTTCAATCCTACTGATAAAAATAGTTGCCAAAGTATATTTCATATTTCTAAAATCAAAGGAAGTTGACACTCACCATCTGCGAGGAAGGTTACAAGAAACTCCACCTCTGCTAATGAAACTATGTTTATTAATGTGCTATTATCAGACTGGCAAGACTGCAGAGCCTCATCCCAGGTTTTCTCTTCTTTCTTAAGTTTGTAACAATTACGATTGTAAGGATTCCAGCCAGGCTCACAGTACGTAGCATAATATTTCCAAACATCTTCATTCCCTTGAACCAAAAAAACAATGCTATTTTTCACAATTCTTTTAGCATTTCATTACATGTTAGTCTTAATAATAAATTGTTATCAATATATGATTACTTTAAAAATGTAAAACACAAGCATATGACACACATCACAGAATCCTGGATCCTTAGAGATGAGGAGTATCTACTTCCATCTCAATGCTTCATTTTTCAGAAGTGATAGCTAAAGTTCACCAAGATCATGAGACTCAACAGAAGTCATATGACCAAAGTGGAGAGTCAGGACTAGGCAGAAACTTGGACAGAGTTGTCCACTTCTTAAGGCCATTTTAAGCTTAATAATAATAATAACGTATTATGGAAAGCAATTTACATGGTATTTCAAGGTTTTTATATATAGCATGTGGGGAAAAGCATGGTGGCTGCAAAGGATAAGCACTGTACTGTCAACCACAAGGTCAGCAGTTCGAGCTCACCAACCCTTTTGAGGGAGAAAGAGGAGGCTTTCTGCTCCTGCAAAGATTTGCCAACCTGAGAAACAAGGTCATTATGAGTCAGAACCCACTCTATAACACTTAACCACAACATAATATGTGGGAGGGTATTATGGATTCAATTGTATCCCCAAATATATGCTGGAACCCTAACCCATATGTCTATGAATATAATCATGTTTGGAAATAGCATTTTCTTAGTTACATTAATTCATAGTAGAGTATAGGATGTGTTCTAAATTTAATCTTTTCTGAGCAATTTAAACACTGAGCTATGTGTGTTGTTGTTAAGTGTCATTGAGTTGGTTCTAACACATAGTGACCTTGTTTCCAAGGAGCGCCTGGTGGGTTTGAATTGCTAACCTTGTGGATCAGAGTCCAGTGTTGATCCACTGTGCCATGCCGGAAGTCCGAGCTATGTATACACAAGGACAAATGTCTTGTGAGGATGCCATAGAACACTTGAGACTACTGGCAAAGGGGGAATCCACACGACTTAAACCCTGATTTAGACTTGTAGCCTCCAGAACTGTGAGAAAATACATTTCTACTAACACAACACACTTGTACTGCTTCTATTACAGCCCAAATCCATTCTGAAGGTATTGCTATCAAGGTATAGTGACTTACAGGACAAAACAGAAAGACCTACAGAGTTTCCTAGACTGTTTACATTTTTCTTCCAACTGAGAAGCTGGTGGGGTTGAACCACTGACGTTTTGGATAGTAGTCAAGCACTTGACCATTGCACCAACAGAAATAAGTAATCAAGACCAAAATACCAAAATAATCAAACCCACTGGCATCTAGTAGATTTCAACTCATAGCAACCCAATACAGGATTCCCAAAGCTGTCAGTCTGCAGGAGCAAAAAGCCTCCTCTTTCATCACCAAAGCTCTTAGTAATTAAGACAGAGGTGTAGATATTTACACTCAGCTGACAAGAGTCTGAAACATTGGTCAGTTCTCTAGAGCAGGCATGACAAGTAGGTCTCAACAGAAGTGTCATTCTCAGAGTCTGGTGCTGTCACTCAGGTGGCCTTTGCTGGACTTACAGGAAAATAATCCCGTGATGCTGTGGACATTGGAGGGAAACGTTGTAGTGTGTGTGATACATTTTGGTTCTCTTTGTCCATGAGGTTGTCTCCAATTTAGTAATAGCATAGTTTTTTAGGTTAATTGATAAAAAACAAAAACAAAAAACAAAGCCAGAAAAAACCCCATTAAAACTCTAATGTCAAACAAAGAACTGTGTTTTTCACTTTAGGATAACAAAATCTTCTTTAATTATTAAGTTAAAGAGTTCATTTTACTCATTGCACAATCTATTTTGAAGGCAAGAGTTCAACAGAATACATTCCTGGATCTGTAAAGCTATGAAATATGTTAATATCTTAACAAAATGTGCTAAATCTTGTTAAGTCTTTTTTCCTTAGCGTACTGTTTATTCTATGTCATCTGTCTACAAGACAAAAATTCTGTGTCTCTGAGTTTATGTTAACTTTTGTTATGTCTCAAGATTATTATGGGAGCATGGTGGTTCCATATGATAAGCACTGGACTGAAATCACACAAGGTCAGTGATTCAAGCCTGCCAAGCGCTCTGCAGGATAAAGATGAAGCTTTTCATTCCCAGCAAGATTTAATAAGCCTTAGAAATCCTATACAGGGTCGCCATGAGTTGGAACTGACTCTACAGTACTTACCAACAACAAGATTATTATATGTTATATCTAAAGCTCTTTGAAGAGAAGGCTAATCATTTTGCATACACATATTTTTCTCTAACATTTCTTTTTAATTGATTTTATTAGTCTCTGCATTACTTTCATAATTTCTATCAAGTCTTCCACTTTAAGGAATTATATATTAATCATAGACATGGGTAAGTTGTAATTTATAGGTAATTTCTAAATTGCTGATTCACTGAAAACTCTTCAACACTTTCAAGAACTAAATGGAAAGTTTTAACAATGGTCTGAAAAGCGAGAGAGAAGGCGAAATGACTGGTAACAAGATTTTTCTTTCTTTTTTTTTAAGAGAGAAGGAGAAAGCAGTTTTATCTTAAAATAGAATGTCTGATTATGCCAGAATCTGAAGGATAATAAAAGCTAAACTTGAGATCATGTAGTAAATTGGAAGGCTTGAGGGAAAGTAAACTTTAAATGTTAATGAATAAGAGAGACAGAAAGGCAAAAGTGAGGTTTGAAATAAAAGAAAGAACAATGTAACTGACTGAAGGACAAGACAGCTATAATGAAAGTCTGTGTGAGTGAGGAAAAAGGGTTTTTGGAAGTGAAAAAAGGAAGAAAAAATATGAAATATAATAAAAATTAAAGAAGATAGTTAAAATAAGGATTTAAGAGGAGCCATGAAAATAATAAGCGAGGAGGCAGTAAAGTGACTTACAAATCTAAGGATAATTTAAAATGAAAAGATTTAATAATAGATAAAAATCAGGACTCAGATTCTGTCACAGAAAATGAAAGATATGTCAAAGATATGAAATAAACAGCTAACAAGGTTAACTTAGCTTTGTTGTTGCTATTGTTAGTGCCTTCGAGTCATTTCTAACTCATAGTGACCATGTACAGGGTATCCAAGGAATGCCTAGTGCGTTTGAACTACCAACCTTGTGATTCAAACTGACCTTCAAGTCCAATGTTTATCCTACAGCACCATATCTTCAAATTGAGCAATGTGACTACTGAAGACAAAATAGTCAAAGAAATGTTAGGTGCCATCGAGTCAGTACCAACTCATAGCAATGCTATGCACAACTGAACAAAACAGTGCCCAGTTCTGGGCCAACCGCAGAATCGGTGGTACGTCTGAGCCCACTGCTGCTGTCACTATGCCAATCCATCTGATTGGGGTCTTCTTCTGTTTCTCTAACCCTCCATTTTACCAAACATGATTATCCTTTCTCCAGGGTCTGGTTCCTTCTGACAATATACCTGAAGTCTGGCCATCCTGGCTTCCAAGGAGCATTTTTTCTATACTTCTTCCAACACAGACTGGTTTGTTCTTTTGGCAGTCGATGGTTGTGTTGATGGTGGTAGTGTGCTACGGAGTTGGTTCTGACTCATAGTGACCCTGTATAGAGTTTCTGAGGTTGTAAATCTTTACGAGAGCAGAAAGCCTCGTCTTTCTCCCACAGAACCACTGGTAGTTTCGAATTAGCTGACCTTGAGGTTAGCAGCCCGACTCATAACCACTACGCTACCAGAGTTCCTTTTGGCAGTCCATGGTACTTTTAACATTCTCCTCTAACACTGTAACTCAAATGCATCAATTTTTCTAGGGTCTTCCTTACTCACTGTCCAACTTTCACATGCATATGTGTTTACTGAAAATACCATGGCTTGGGTCAGGCCTACCCTAGTCTTCAAGCTGACACCTTTGCTTTGTTCTTGAACACACTAAAGAGGTCTTGTATAGCAGATTTGCCCAATGCAATATGTTGTTTAATTTCTTGACACCTGATTCCAGGAGTGTTGATAGTTGATCTGAGTTAGAAAACCAAAAGGGAAGAACATGCTTAGCATTTCTCAAGTTGAAAGAACTGAAGAAAAAATTTAGACTTTGTTTTTTATCATTCAATATTTTGCTCATAGAATTCTGAAGGATTCTGTGGGCAAAATACTGAATGATTCAGGATGCATCAGAAGACGAGGAAAGGAATATACAGAGTCATTGTTCCAAAAAGAATTTGTTGATGTTCAACCCTTTCAGGAGATAGCATATCCTCTAGAACCAATAGTGTTGAAATAAGAAATACAAGCTGCACTAAAGGCATTAGTGAAAAACAAGGCTCTAGGAATGGACAGAATATCATTTGAAATGTTTCAACAAAGTGATGCAATGCTGGAAGCAGTTACTATTCTATGCCAAGAAATTTGGAAGAGAGTTACCTGGCCAACCAACTGGAAACATATATAATTATGTCCACTCCAAATAAATGCGGCCCCTACAGAATGCAGAAATTGTCAAGCAGTATCTTTAAGATAACATGAATGTATAACGTTGCTGAAAATATTTCCAAAATGGTTGCTGGTGATCTCATGATAGACTGCAAGACCAATGACTTGTTCGTTGCAAATATCTTTTTAAACAACATAAAAGATGGTTATACACATGGACCTCACCAGATAGAACACACAGAAATCAAACTGACTACATCTGAGAAAAGAGACAGTGGAAAAGCTCCATATCATCAGTTAAAACAAGGCCAGGGGCCAAGTGTGGAACAGATCATCAATTATTCATATGCAAATTCAGGCTGAAGTTGAAGAAAATTAAAACAACTTGATTAGAGACTAAATATGACCTTGAACATATTCTACCTGAATTTAGAGATCATTTCAAGTACAGATTTGATGAATTGGACACTAATGACTGAAGACCAGAAGAGTTGTGGGATGACATCAAGAACATCACAGCAGAAGAAAGTGAAAGGTCATTAAGAAGACAAAAAAGAAGAAACAGACCAAAATGGATGCCAGAAGACACTGAAAC